GCGGGCCAGGTACCCTGGTGACCCAGACCCAGGCATAGCCAGGGCAGCTTTCTGCAGCATCCTAGGGCAGGAGGCAGGGTGGAGGGGGCTGGGCTGCGGGGGACACAGCTGGGGGCTGGGGTCCTGATGCTCCCTCTTCATACCCCAGGGAGCTTGCTGGATTTCCTGAAGGATGGGGATGGCCGGTTCCTGAAGCTACCCCAGCTGGTGGACATGGCGGCCCAGGTACGGAGGGATGGGGGTGGGAAGCGGAAATCCCCAGAGCTGGAGATCTGACACCTGGCCGGGGAGGGGAGCTCCATGCAGCCTGCTCAGCCCAGCCACATCCGGAAGGAGCCCCAGGGAGACAAGGGAGGGACTGTGCCCTCTTCCCCAGCCAGGCTGGCAGGGGCTGGCCCCGGGCGGTCACAGTCTCCCCACACGCTCCCCCCGCAGATCGCAGCCGGCATGGCCTACATCGAGCGGATGAACTACATCCACCGGGACCTGCGCGCTGCCAACATCCTGGTGGGGGACAACCTGGTGTGTAAGATCGCGGACTTCGGCCTGGCCCGCCTTATCGAGGACAACGAGTACACGGCGCGCCAAGGTGGGCCTGCCCGGGGCGGGCTGGATCTCCGCACTAGGCCTCCTTCCTTCCGCTGTGCTGGGCTCCCCTCTGTCCCAGTTGAGCTGTGGGGCAGACTGACCTTCCCATCCCCCTCCAGCGCCTGCCACGCCTCCGACCCACGTGCCTATGCTGCGGGAGGGGAAGGGGCCAGGTCCCTGCGCCCTAGCTGGCAGGGGGCACGCTGACCAGGGCTGCCAGCAGTGATCTCACTCCCTGTCCCCATCTCATCCGCCCCCTCCCTGCAGGTGCCAAGTTCCCCATCAAGTGGACCGCCCCGGAGGCTGCGCTCTATGGGAGGTTCACCATCAAGTCAGACGTGTGGTCCTTCGGCATACTCATGACGGAGCTCATCACTAAGGGCCGCGTGCCCTACCCAGGTACAGCTGTCTGGCCCCTGCCCACTCATACTGGCTTGTGCTCAGTAGTGGGGGCTATTGGGTTCTTGTGCCAGGCCAGGGGAGGGAGAAGGGTCTAGTGGTTACAACAAGCAGTCTGGGAGTCGGGTTTATTCCCAGCCCTGAACACCACTTCCCTCCCAGTGGGTGAAGCGCTGGGTCTCTCCCTGGCTCTGCCAATGGCTTGCAGGGTAATCTGGGCAAATCCCAGCCCGTGCCTCGGTTTCCCCACCTGTGAGAAGGGAGCGGTGCCCCTGGCTCCCTTGATGTGCTTGGAGCGCTACTGATGAGAAGCACAATAGAGGAAAGAGGCAGCATTATTAGTGGTCAGAGCAGTGGGGCTTGCCGGCCAGGACCCCTGGGTTCTCATCCCTCCTCCCCCACGCCTCTCTGATAGGGCTGTTGCACCAAAGGGGTCGACAGACTTGCCGGGCCCCTGGGCAAAGTGGGAGGGGGCCAGGCTCTGTGCTCCCAGAAGGGGCGGGGCCTGGGTGGAAGGGGCGGGGCTGGGGTGAGCCAACTGAGCATGCCCCCTGGCATTCCAAGGGCTAGTTAAAGGACTTGGGGCTCCAGGAGCCTGGGCCCTTTGGAAGGGCTGGGCCCCAGGACAGTTGCCCCCCATGTGTCAGTGGGTCGGCCCAGCGCTCGCCGTCGGAGGAATACCCGGCCCTAATGCCCACAGCAGCCCCTCCCTCCCCCGACTCGGCGCCTGTCCTCCTTGTGCAGGCATGAATAACCGGGAGGTGCTGGAGCAGGTGGAGCGGGGATACCGTATGCAGTGCCCCTGCGGCTGCCCGACGTCCCTGCACGAGCTGATGGTGCAGTGCTGGAAGAAGGAGCCCGAGGAGCGCCCCACTTTCGAATACCTCCAGTCCTTCCTCGAAGACTATTTCACTGCCACGGAGCCTCAGTACCAGCCGGGGGACAACCAGTGAGCCCCCCTCTCTGAGCCAGCTGTGCCTGGGGCCCCTGCCCCACAGCAGCACCCCGCCAGGACTTCCCAGGTGGCACTGGACGTGCCCAGGCGGCACCCGGCCAGGACGTCCCTCTGTGTCCAGTCTGGGCCAGGCCCCTCTTTTTTTCACCGTCCCTGTTGGGGAGTGTTGTTACTCTCCTGCCGTCTGCGCTCCCCTCGCTGTGCCGGGACGGGGGGTGCTTTGCACAAATGCCTCCTGTTCTACTGAGGATCCCATCCCCCACCCCAGGGCCCTCTCGGGGATGGTCCCCCATGGGTCCCCCCCTCTCCCTCCTCCTTGCCAGCTGCCTTCGGCCCCTAGCTCTTGGCTCTCTCGGGTTCTCTCTCTCTCTCTGCGGGGAGCAATGAGGCACCGGAGGTGAGGCCAGCAGCCCACCAGCCTGCAGACACTGCGCCCCTCCCTCCCCCCAAATGCATGCCCTGGGCTTCAGAGGCCACTGCACCTCTGGGGCATTGGCGGGGGGAGGGCAGGGGCGTCATCCCCCACCAGGATCTGAGCAGCTTTGGAGTGTCCTGCGGGCTGTGCAGCCCCATCTCTTCCCCCCCCTCCCCAGTCTTGAGTGTCAGATGTTTCCCGTGGCTCCAGCCAGCTGCCAGCATCTAGCCCACCACCTGCAGCCCAAGTGCCCGGGGCAGAGTTGGGGGCTTGACTCAGCACAGGGTGGGTGCTCAGGCCCGGGGCAGCCAAGACAGCACAGAAGCTGTCTGCCTGCGAGGCCTGCCGTTGAGTGCCACGCTGGGCTCGGGGGAGGGTAGAAGCAGGACAGGTGGGGCACGGCCCTGGGGGCCTAGGGGCAGCTGGCCAGCGTGGCTGGAGGGCAGGGTTCTGCACGTTCGAGGTGTGGGGGGGAGTGATTGCTGAGACGCTGGGCCCCTTGCATGCCCCAGCCCCTCCCCTGCCATGGATGACACGTGGCAGCCAAGCCTCCTCTGCCCTAGCACAACAGGGCTGGGGGGTAGCTAGGAGCTGCCAGCTCCATTCCCCCCTCTGGGCCTCCAGTGGAGCGGTGCTGCCCTGCGGTCCTGCCCTGGTGCTCACCCCAGCAGGGGGCGCTCGCCGGGCCTTGTGCACTTTTGTACGTGTTCTGCCAAGCTGTGCGTTTATTTATAAGCCTTCCACAAACCCTTCTGCCCCCCTCCCAGGGGCGCGGGGGTCCCTGTGCTCCTCGGAGTGGGGGGAGCTGGCTGGGATTTTGGTTTTCCTCCCCCTCCCCCTCCCCACCTGTAATTCTCGCTTTTGTGTCTTTTCCTTAAGCAGAGCCAAATTGTTAAAAGCCATAAACTGCTGCTCGGGGGAGGGGAGCCGGCAGTGCCAAATGCGTCTTAAAGCAGGATCATGTGTGTCCCCCCCCACCAAAGGCAGGGCTGGGGGGGGCAGAGCTGTCCCCTCTATAGGAATCCCAGGCCCTGGTCCCAGGAGACGAGGCCCCGGGGGCAGGAATGTCAACTTCCCCGTGCAAGCACAGCCTGTCTCACGCTGAGCCTGGCTCTGCTCTGTGGGCCGTGGCGGGGGGG